TGTTGCTAGCAGGATTTCCTGACTAATACGGATAAGTGATCACCCCCAATTTACAATTGTTATTTAAAAATGTGCTCTAGGCCCTGCTTATTCCTGCTTTTTATCGATATTCTCATTTATCACCGTCCCATAGTTTCCTGGCATGGTTAGGCTGGCTGCACAGAATGGAGCAAGCAATGTAGAGGAGTACGCACTTGTGACCCTGTTTGGGCCTGTCTGACCTCACTGTGCATCATTCAGTCGAATCCTATTTGGCTGCAGCTGTGGTAATGCTGTGCTTGAGCCCGGTCTTTACCTGGATTAGGAGAAAGTGCTGTGCCTTACTTCCACTGATCTGGTTTTGAGACAAGCAATGCCCGGCCACCTGAACCAGGCAACCTTGGACCTTGGGTTTAAACAGTGTCAAAACCCTCCCCATCCTCCTCTGCGGTGCAAATGGGTTGTCTGAGCAGCGTTAAACTCTGACGTACGTATTTTAGTTTTACAGTTTGGGCATAATTTTAGTCAAAATGTGTCAGTTCTAAGTGGGGCATTTGGGAACTTGCCATGCACTGTATTTATTCTCCCAATCCTATATTATCCTGTGCAGCGTTGTAGCTGCCAAAACCACACACTCATGTTGGCGTGAAACAATTATCCTGGTTTATACAGAACAGGCTTGGCAATAGTCTATCTCAATGAACAGTCATAGTGCTGAAAGATTCAGTGTCGTCTTTTCCTCTCCAAGCAACAGACTAAATTTCTTTCAGCTGGATTCATCGTTTTAAAAAATTACAGGAGTAGAAAGCAGGTATGGAGAGCAGGGTGTATACAAAGTACCTGTAAGGTCTGGAAGGAAGTGAGAATGAGATGCAGAAGAAAAAGACTATTTAAGACACAAGCTAGTAATTTGGTTTCTAAACCCATGTGAAATTATAATGTTTCCTGTTGCCAGTTGGTGAACAGAGAGATGTGTGGTTTTTTACTTGCATGCAAAGCTATTGGTTGCGGGTGAAGTACTTAGACAAAAACATTAAATCACTGGTGTGGGTATTCCACCAAAACCCCAAACAAACACTGACGTATTATAAAAGCACTTTTTTCTGCAGAGACAAACATTCAGTTGCTGCTGCTATTCATGAACTCTAGAACTGTTAAAGCCTCCTGTTTAACTTGCCCGAAATAAGAATACTGTCTTCTAGAAAGTAACACAAACGTTTCTGAAACTTAAGAACCAGTGTTTATATATTTTTCATGAAAATGTAGTATATGGTGTAAACTTACAGGGATATTGATCAATGATAACTATTACTTGCCAAGGTCTTGTGAACCAAAAACGCTGCATAGACAAGAGCCAAAGGTGTGAAAGAAACTTTCCTTAAGCTTAAAAAAATGTTAACTGAAAGTGGACTTAAACATTAGTCAAAGACAAATCATTTTGCAGCGATTAGCAAAGGTTAGTAAAGGCTTATTTTTCCTCCTTTTTTCCAGACAGCTTCACAGATATTTTTTAAGTTGTACTCCATTATGAAAGTAACTGCTACTTTGTTATCAGAACGGTGATGGAGATTTTTATTCCAGAAGGCCAGACGCTATCACTACTTGAAATTCTCCAAATTGTTTCCACTGTGACCAAATTCAGTCTTGATGCGAGTCACATCTGCTTAAAAGTGAATAGCAGTTGCTTCTACTTTACACCAGCGTCAAATTTCACCTACAATCTCAAATTTTAAAAATCAACTTAAATCCCAGGATTTGGATAGTTTTGCGTAAGTGACTTTAAATCCAGAAGTACCTAATAGGAAATACTGAAATAAAAGCATTCAGCTTTAGTGGTTTCTGGTGGAAACAGAGATATTTCCTTTCAGATATGAATGTCTCTTGAACTAAAAAAAAAAAAGTCTATTTAAGTTTTTCCACATATGGACAAAAAAATAGCTATCACACCTAAATGCAGTTTCTTATCCAGCTAGCAAGGATGGGTGGTGAGCGGGGAGAAGAGCGGGGGACAGGCCGCCTGCATGAATTGCGGGCTTAGCTGTCCATGATGTATTAAGGATTAATTGCATGTTTAGCGACGCAGCTGTGGCTGCACAGCACAGGGGCATCAGTCACACCACTGCTCCCGTCGGTTCCCAGTCCTTCAGAGCACGAGCTGTTTCAGCCGTTCCATCGCTCCGGCCGGCACTGATGGATTAATGGGAGGAAATGTTTATAGAAAGGTTCAGGTTTCCTAAGTGAGTGGAATGAAACCCCCCTCAGCAATGATCCGCGAGCTCATGTCATGGAGCAGTTTGAAGCAGCCTGACTCGCAGGAAAGCAAAGGCCTTTTCAAAAAGGAAACTTGACAAGCGAGCGATTCTGGGGAACAGCTAGAGGTGTTTTCAAATAAAAGATGTGGCTTTTCTAGCGAGGCAGCATGAATGGGGCTAGCTCTGAAAATAACTTTAAATCAGTAGTTTTTGTAAAAGGTTATGTTTGAGAGCACAGTGTCCGAATAAAATAGTACCGAGAGAAAGTGCAACTATAGCACACTGCGCTCAGTAAATGAAACAATATTGCAGTGCAAATACAGCTACCATGATGCCATCCAGCTACAGTATCTTAGATCTGTTTTGTAACTTAAATTTTAGTAGAGCCATAGTTTAAGGCAAAGGAAGGGTGTTGAACCCAATAAATAGGCTGAAATCATTGCGAGAGAAAAGCTGGAAACTATCATTTCACAGGTGTAAAATTCTGTTTGCCGGGGCACTTTCCATGATTGTAGCAACACAGCTTGAGATCTAAACATTCATTTCAGTTTAAAAAATGAACTAAAATAGACCATTCCATTGAAGCTATCAGCTTTCAGATGACTGTGATAAGAAAGAATGTAGGCTTCGGGCTAGCTATTAAGATTAAAGTAAAATTCACCTGAACAAAACTGGAGATAGCTAAGGTGCTGGGGGAGAAAAAAGCCAGTTCAAAACACTGCCCTTTGAAAGCTATTGAAAAGGACCTAGTCCTTAGTGTTTCCCTGAAACACTCCACCTGTCAAAGCAAGGATTTAATTTACAGCACTTGTAGCACCCTCCAGTTCTCAATCTCAAAGTCCCTTTGGAATGGGAAGAGAGCATTATCCTTATTTTCTAGATAAGGAAACTGGTTTATCAGCTTGCCCTCAGCAAGAGGCAGAGCCTAGAAGAAAACTTGGCTAGGATGCAAGTACCTCAAGTGAGGGCAAACATTTGAAACGGTCTCAAAATGTGATCATCTATTGTGAGGGGCCAGTACTCAGAAAGGCCAGTTTCAAGTCATAGCTGAGTTTCTGGTCAGTATATTCACAGTGTAGTCACCCGAAAGTCTCCTGCACCTCCCACAACAAAGCTGGGGGTGGGGGGGAAGATGCTACTCACGGAGCTGCCCCCCCTTCTATAACCTGCTGAGTGTTCAAAGACTGAAAGAACTTCATTGGAGCCCTTGTATTAAAAATTATTTATTTAGTGATCTGTACATGGGATGAAGCAGGGCCTCATACAGACCTTCAAAAAAAAATCAAGTAAAAACATAAATACATATTTTCTTACAAAAATGAGATTTACAAAATATACATACTGCACTCATCTTACACGTTTGTTTTTTTCTTTTTCTTCCACGTGCACATTATAAAAGACAAAAACCCAAGCCCTGCAAGTCTGAGATCAGATCTACTGAAGGATTTGGCTGATGGGCCCATTCCTCATGCCTAGACTACTGCCTTCAGACAGCAGCAGTCTGCCCCCTCACCCTGAACAGGTTTTTTTCTTTTTAAGTTTCATTCCAGACAGTTTTCCCCCCCAAAAAAATAAAGAGCAGCTATAGGGTGGAGACTTGCTAAAAATCCAGCATTTCCTATTTTGTCCTTAGGCAAGAATATATACACACACACACACTTATAAAAACAACCCTTCAGTGAATATAAAGGTAAAGTAGTATGCAAAAAATAAAATATGAACAAGTCAACATAAAAATTTCAGAGTAGAAAAATCTGTCACATTTCAAAAAGAAAACGATGCATTTGATGATTAATTTTTTAATGTCTTTCCTTCCAAGACGTGATCACTGGAAACTTAACGAGCTGTATTTTAGCTGAAACGAGAAGGCTTCTCCCTTGCGATACCTGCTTGCTTTTGAACCCCAACCCCAGCCCCCTCCTGCACTGTGAGTCATTGCCATGCAGTTCAGGGAACCTGAGGAGCAGGCAAAGGGTCCATCGTGAGCCAAAAGGATTCCTCCTGTCCCCAGAAGCCGACTGTGTGTTGACTTTACCTGCAGTGAGCTCACTGCAAAGCAGGAGAGAAAGCAGGTTTATGGGAAGGAAAGAAACATATCGTATCTTTATGTTACACATCTTAATGGCTCTTGTTTTGGCAGGTGCTCTCGGTTACTCTCTTCTTGCCCTCCAAGTCTTGCGTTTCCTTCAGCTTAGAAAAGCGACCCATATTGAACGGGAGGAAAACATCCTGCCTTCTCCTCTTTTCATAAAAGGAATGTTTATTTCTGCGAGCTCCTCACATCCAAGGGTGAACCTCAACGACTTCTTTTTGTTACTTTGCCCATAAAAACCAATCCCGTGCTTATGCCTTTCTACATCGAAAACACTTTTGTTTCCCCCTTTGTCTCCTAGAACAAAGGCAAGGGGGAAAAGCCTTCTGCTGAAAAGCAACAAGTCATTTCTTTTCAGGGTGTGGAATAGCAACCCCCTCCTTCCCCACAGCAGCAAGGACACACCGAGGGTCAAATCTTAACTTTAAAACAATTAAAACAGATAGTACTGAGGTAAAAAGGAAGTTGTGAGCTGACCGAGCAGAGGCATCTCACCAGCACACGATCTGGGCTGTAGCTGGTTGCGCAGTACTCACGTGATTGCTGGAAGGAGCAGGCGGCAAGCTCAGGCTCAGGAGTTACCCTGCCCGCGCTGCAGTTTGACCCCAGCAATTCAGAAAGGGTTTGGCTACTTCTCGGCAGGGGCAGCTCAACAGATCTGGCCTCCCCTCCCTCTCGTCCAAAGCAAGACAGGATGTTTTTAGTTAGGTTGGGTTTTTTTTCCTGCACAGGGGTAGCAGGAGAGATAGGTAAGGGGACTTCTTGCCGGTGAAGGACTCTCCCATCCCACCAGTGGCTTCTTTCTCTGTGTTCTTCTAGCTGGGCATAAGCACCACTGGATACGGTCCGTCTGATCCTTTAATCAAAGATTTTTTTTTTTTTTTTTCCAAACCCTCTGGGAGGAAGAAAAAGTTTGGAAAAGCCTCCCTTCCTCCCCCTTCAGGGAGCCATTACCTTCGAGTATCCCTCTCCTCTGCGTGTGTGCATGTGTGCGTGCGTGTGTGTGTGCCAGAGGGGGCAGGGGGGGTCTCATACTGCCGTCTCGCCTTTGCTGCCGGTGCTGAGTCTGTGGTAGAAGCGTCGCCAGGACTGAAGGGTTTTGCCAGACCAGATCCAGAAGCCAGTTGTGATCCCAACAATCATGGTCATGAGGTACTTAATCATGAAGACTGTGAAGTCCGGGCTCATAGGGGCAAAGTGGCTGGGACAGGGAACAGCATAGGTTTTGCAGGTCTGGAGGAGCCACGTCTTCTCCCAGGTGCCACGGAAGGCCTGCTCGTAGAAGTAACATGCCAGGACAATGGTGGCAGGCACCGTGTAGAGGACACTGAAGACACCAATGCGCACCATCAGTTTCTCCAATTTCTCCGTCTTGGTGCCATCGTGCTTCATGATGGTGCGGATGCGGAACAAGGACACGAAGCCGGCAAGTAAGAAGGAAGTGCCAATGAAGAGGTACACAAACAAGGGCGCCAGCACAAAGCCCCGCAGAGAGTCCACGCTGTAGATACCTACGTAACACACCCCACTGAGTACATCCCCATCCACCTGCCCCATGGCCAAGATGGTGATGGTTTTAACAGCGGGCACAGCCCAGGCAGCCAGGTGGAAATACTGGGAGTTGGCCTCGATGGCCTCGTGGCCCCACTTCATGCCAGCAGCCAGGAACCAGGTGAGGGACAGGATGACCCACCAGATGGAGCTGGCCATGCCGAAGAAGTAGAGGATCATGAAAAGGATGGTGCAGCCTTCTTTCTTGGTACCTTGGGCCACAGTGCGGTAGCCGTCCTCAGAGAAGCGCTCCAGACACACCACCCGCTCCTCCAGCAAGAAACCTGCCGCATAGGCGACTGCCACCATGAAGTAGCAGCCTGAGAGGAAGATGATGGGCCTCTCTGGGTAGCTGAAACGGCGCATGTCCACCAGATAGGTGAGCACGGTGAAAAGGGTGGAGGCGCAGCAGAGTACAGACCACACGCCCACCCACAGCCGGGCAAATCGCACCTCCGCCTCCTTGAAGTACATGAGCCCGTTGGGCCGGGCTGGCTCACAGGGGGCCCCGCAGTCCCGCTCCCCCAGGAACCGGTAGCCCAAGTAAGGGGGCACCTTGAGCTGCCGGGGGCAGGAGAAGGAGAAGCCGGAGGGGGGCTGCGGCGGGGTGAGG